ATCTGATGTTATCAGAGCACCCAAGTACTTAAACATATTAGCTTGCTTGAGGTTTGTTCCATTTACTTTGATGTTGCATTTTGGAGGGTCGGTTGTATTTTTGTAATTACCGTTACTTCTGTTTTTCTGCTGTTCAAACTAAGTCCCTTGTTTTCAATTTCCGTCATTTCTTGCAGCTGTGTTTCACTTTCAGCGGTCAAAACTATATCGTCAGCATATCGCAGGTTGTTAACAGTATGACCACCAACCGCTCTTTCTGGCATACCATGTATGGATCTAATTATTATGTCACTGTATAAATTGAATAAATCGTCACATACACATACATTTCTCATTTCATAAACGCGTGTATTTGCCATTTACCACATACACACACACACATACCCACATTTTTTTTTAAATATTTTAAACACATATTTTTTTCTTTCCAGGCGACACACACACACATACAGCACACTCTCATACACACATACATTCTCACACGCTCTTTTATATAATAAACACACATTGTTGCCATTTTGTCAATTAAACCCCACCCCCTTTCCTTTTTCCCCACCACTCTTTGACTCAGTGAGGACACCTGGTGAGGCCCTATTCGCCAATTACTGCCCCCTACCCCCCTCCCCCACCTTCACTGCCGGTCTACATCCTTGTCAGAAAAAGATCCTGAACAAGAATGTCAGATACGTTTACTACCCCCAAGATACCAACAGATAAAAAAAATTAAAAAAATTAAAAAAAATAAAAAAAAAAAACACAGAAAAACACAGAAAAAGGAAGTGAGATAGTTTTATAAATAGAGGTATCGAAAACAGATCACTGGACAACAGTGTAGGTACAAGAGTGACGGTAGAACTTTGAATCCCTAAACAAAAACTACGAGAACCAAACAACAGCGTCAAAATATGCCTATGTATGAGGTTATTGTAGCAGTAAGTAAAACAAAAGTTTATTACACTTACCACAATATACAATTTGTTTACAGACAACAAAGTAAAATGATTTGTCACTTGTGTTTTTGTTCAGTTATAAAATAACGCTTTAATGTCGAGTCAAAGTCAACTCAAGTATAGTTCCGGTAATATCGGGAAAACCGCAGTTGACAATTTACAGGAATATTGGCTAGGGGCGTTTTTTCCGAAACTATCAAGGGACAGTTGTGATCGGAATCCAGGTTTAATGTCATATGTAGGCGAACCAGCTTTGTCCTTAGCCGCACAGGACTTCAGGTTGCACCTGGTTGTGTAAACATACACGGGCGCTCCAATTATAACTATTTTTTATGCTTGGATCTACCTTTTTTTTTTTTTTCAAACGTCGTAAACCTTCGGGTAGCACTCCAGAGGGGACAAACCGATTGAACAAGTGGATGGGAGGGAGAAATAGAGTGGGTGAAGTATGAACAGAGTGGGTGAGAGTGAAATAGAGTGGGTGAAAGAAAGAGGGAGTGGGTGGGTGAGAGAGAGATACAGACAGAATGAGAGAGATATAGTCATAGTGGATTAGATAGAGATACAGAAATTGTCTTGACTGATTGCCTAGTGTGAGTGAGGTTTAGCGGCTTAACCGCAGATCTGTGATGTCTTAACTGATCAATTATTGTCTTTATTTAGTAGATCAACTACTTGTGCGCTGCAGAAATACACAGAGATGAATTGTCCCATAATTACAGTCGTTACAAGACCCCCCCCCCCCCCCCGCCCACACACACACACGCAATGATTCCTTTAGACTTTTCACTTCATACAATAACTCACGATCTGGCTTGTAAAGACATGTGTATAGACTCGTGTAAAGACACGTGTTGGGTATCTATCTGGTTGTGGAACCGTGCACACTTGATCATTCAGCTAGGCGCTATCATTTTGAGGAAACTAGTTCGAATCCCGGTGCGGTCACTGCAGCTTTATAGCTTTAGACTTGTGTTTTGTCTGATGTGTCCAGTAAACAGTGGACTTATTGTTATTGCTGTTTAATGGACTCAAGTTTTTCACGTGAAATGAGGCTGTATCGCCAGATATCACTTTCTTCAAACAGATAAATGCTATGTCACATAGATCAGATATATCACACACAGAGAATATCAACACGGTGCTCGACATTCATATCAACTCTAGACTTCCTAAAGTATCATATTCTTCTTCGCTTGCGCTCGCCCTTCAACGGGCGGTTGCCATGTTGTAGTTTACAGCTAAGCTGCTGCGATATATGTCCCCTTTTGCACAACACATTCTGTTGCGGCAAACGTCTAATTAGCACCCTTTTACGACATGCTTGATAGGTTACAGTGGGTCTACCCCCTCCCACCAAAAAAATAGGGCTCCCGATGCCACACAGAGAAACGGACGTTCTATTAGTTATCGCCCGGCTCTCTAGCGTAGTTGGCTAAACCGGATTGCGTAGTTGGCTAGACCGGGAATGAACTCCTTGTGGTCCGGGTTCACTCCCGGGGTTAGGCAGGAAAGCCACATTTTCTCCCAGATTTACGGTATTTACAATGGAATCAAGGCCGAAAATTTGCGATATCCACAATACCGAGCCTAAGGGTTAACAACTCCTGGCTTCTGGATACTCAAACAAACAAACAAACAAACTATAAGTTATCATACGTGAGTTAAACAGTCAGGAAGTACTTAGGGTGAGTTGTCTTCAATAGCGAATGATAGGACAACTTGGCTGTCAGTGGGTTGAGGGTCTTTGCTGCACTGGGGGCGGGGAGGGGGGGGGGGAAAGGGCGGAGTAGGAAGAAAAGTCGGTTTTGAAGTTTTGAAGTCTAGTACAGTACGAACGGGCTATTCAAAGGTTTAAAAAGTTTTGTTTTTTTTAAACAGTAAAGGACCCTTTTCCACGCCTTTAGGCGTATAGGGCATATAGGGCTAGACCTATATTTGTATAGACCAGTCGGCACAATATGGGTGATGTGGTCAGCATCACACCGGCTGCCTTTACTTTCCGGGACTGCACTTGGTACCCACTCAAGGCTGGGTCGACCTGGGAGCCAAGGTCATTTTTGAAAATAGTCCGACTCCGCCAGGGAGCGAACCCACGACCTTCCGATCCGCGGCGAGCGTCTAGCCGCTCGGCCACGGGGACTTCCACGGGATATTCGATTAGTTATTGTCCTTCTTCACTGCATAGACTTGTTTAACATGGACAAGACGTATTTGTCGCCCTTGTCTGAAATGGCTAGGCATGCGATCCACTACAGTATTATTGAAGGTATTGAAGATACTCTGTTTTCTATTTGTATAGTAAAAAAAAGTAAAACAGTAAAGGACCCTTTTCCACTCCTTTAGGCGTATAGGGCATATAGGGCTAGACCTATTAAAGTAAAGATCCCTTTTAATACCTTAGGTGCATCGGGTATATGGGAAGAGCGTCCTATATTTTTACAGACCAATCGAAACTAGGTGGGTAATGTGGTCAGCATTACGCCAGCCGTCTTTACTTTCCCAGGACAGCCATCCTGGTACCCATTTTAGGCTGGGTCGACCTGCGACGCCCCGTACCATGATTAAAAATCCACGCAGCCCGCAGTGGGTTTCGATCGCGGTACGTTGGATTACGAGTCGGACTCGCAACGCCTTAGCCACGGGCGCCGCAAGAGCCGCGGTGCTTTACGGAGCCGCGGTCCCTATCTCCGGGCCTATTTGTATAACGCGATCAAATCAGGTCTTCGTGCGTCAAAGTCATAAGTAATAGGCACTGTGTTTGTTTGTTTGTTTGTTTGTTTGTTTGAACAACGGATCAACATCAAAGCACAAGGGTAGCATAAATGCTCAGTTCTACTTATAACTCAAGCCTGAGTCCGAAGGGTCACACCGCAGTGCACAAACTCCGTTGCACCGGCGATAATCCTGAAATACATTGGCTAGATTTTTAATTCCAAATTGTGCACGGGCAGCGCCGTTAAGCTACTCTTTTCGATTTTCAACTGCCAAGGAATTTGTTACGTGTACAACAATACACTCGGGAGTCCCATCTTACTACCCAGAGGTTAGTTGCGAATCTTTTACAGGACGTTGCAGAACTAACCCTAACAACCCCTGGCTGTTGTGTGGTTTTTCTGGGCAAATTTACGTCCAGTAGTTTGCCATTTCTTTCTGGACACTACCCAGAGAAGAGGGGAAATTACTCGAAGTCCACGTAAATAAAAAATCCCAGCGTTTACCAGGACCTCTAGCACTCGAGGCGGACGCCATACCCCGAGACCACGCAGCCCCCACCTGCGTTACAGTAGGCTTTGAATTACAATGGTTTTATTTCAAGCAATGAAGTGCGTAATCTCCGTTTGAAATAGAAGATGTGGACATTGAAGGAATGTATTCGAGTTCTGGTTGCACCTGACACTGTGGACATTGAAGGAATGTATTCGAGTTCTGGTTGCACCTGACACTGTGGACATTGAAGGAATGTATTCGAGTTCTGGTTGCACCTGACACTGTGGACTTTGTAAGAATAGGTTTAAAGTTAGTTGCGTGTCCCTTACAGAACGATGCAGAAGTACCACCATAAGTTTTTGTTTATTGTTGTTGTTTTTCTAGGCAAATTTTACATTCAGTAGTTTGCCATTGCTATGAACGGTCATCTCTCGGTACCACTGTCGAAACCAATGGTATCGTATCGTATAAAATCAGACAAAAATTCCAAGCTTAGTCCTTTTTTAGCCGCCTGATGGCCTGCTTTATCAAGGGCGGTTCCTTTGCTATCTTATTTTATTTATCTTCCCTTGTGCTGAGCAATTACACCTGAGTTGTTCATTTGTTGCCTAAGTTCTGGTATGTTGGGTCCTGGTTCCTGTTTTAGTTGGCTATCCGCTAGCTGTTCCACTGTTCATCTGTGTTAGTACCAAGTCAGTCCCCAGCCACACCACCGCGAAACAAACAGTCCCGCACACTGTGCTACCTAAAACAAGGCCCCCAGTCGAAACCAACGCAAGAGGATAGCCCATTACTCTCAAGCGACCAGCTAAATCAAGTGTTCAATGAATGTCTTCGTTGTCAAAAGTGTGTGGCGGTGTAGTCTATAGACTGTGCATTAGAAAACACCGGATTCTGAGAACCCTGCGCACTTGGTTTCAACCGCAGCATCTTGAAGAAAGCGTAGCGAAACTCCCGGTTCAGGACGCCGTAGATGATGAAGTTCATGCCGGAGTTGGTGAGGGCCAGTAGGTTGCACATGCGGTAGATGTCAGGCGGGATATTGATAAAGTAGTCGACGCCCATACATATGAGAATTGGGGTGAGGCAGATGAAGAACACACCGAAGACGGTCAGGAAGAACTTGATACTTTTGACTGTGCTTTTCCTGAAGACTCTCCGCTCCCCTGTCACAAGATAGAATACATTTGTCAGTTGCAGATTTAATGAATTAATTTTTCGAAAATAGATAAGATACTTCCCCCCCACCCCCCCCCCCCCCCCTCCCTTTTCGGACTACTGCTTGGCGTGTGTTTTTTTAGGGAATATTTTGACACCGCCAGCCACTGTGATGAATATTTCATGGCGTCGCAGATCAGTTTTTTTTTTTTTTTTTAGAAACTTTGTGCATCAACATCTTTTTTTCTTTTTTTCAAAGACTACTCTACTTAACAGTTGACACTCAAAGAGTGTCTTCTTAGGTGCCAGTCCATTAATCCCTGTTCCACTTGGTAAGAAGTTATAATTATGGCATGCATCCATAACAGTTACATCGAGTACTGGCCTGGCGGACCGTTGTGGCTTGTGTGTCTAAGGACAGGTAGTATTACCTTCACCATTTTTGTGTGTCTAAGGACATGTAGTATTACCTTCACCATTCTTGTGTGTCTAAGGACATGTAGTATTACCTTCACCATTCTTGTGTGTCTAAGGACATGTAGTATTACCTTCACCATTCTTGTGTGTCTAAGGACAAGTAGTATTACCTTCACCATTCTTGTGTGTCTAAGGACATGTAGTATTACCTTCACCATTCTTGTGTGTCTAAGGACATGTAGTATTACCTTCACCATTCTTGTGTGTCTAAGGACAGTAGTATTACCTTCACCATTCTTGTGTGTCTAAGGACATGTAGTATTACCTTCACCATTCGTGTGTGTCTAAGGACATGTAGTATTACCTTCACCATTCTTGTGTTTCTAAGGACATGTAGTATTACCTTCACCATTCTTGTGTGTCTAAGGACATGTAGTATTACCTTCACCATTCTTGTCTGTTTAAGGACATGTAGTATTACCTTCACCATTCTTGTGTGTCTAAGGACATGTAGTATTACCTTCACCATTCTTGTCTGTTTAAGGACATGTAGTATTACCTTCACCATTCTTGTGTGTCTAAGGACAGGTAGTATTACCTTCACCATTCTTGTGTGTCTAAGGACATGTAGTATTACCTTCACCATTCTTGTGTGTCTAAGGACATGTAGTATTACCTTCACCATTCTTGTCTGTTTAAGGACATGTAGTATTACCTTCACCATTCTTGTGTGTCTAAGGACATGTAGTATTACCTTCACCATTCTTGTCTGTTTAAGGACATGTAGTATTACCTTCACCATTCTTGTCTGTTTAAGGACATGTAGTATTACCTTCACCATTCTTGTGTGTCTAAGGACATGTAGTATTACCTTCACCATTCTTGTCTGTTTAAGGACATGTAGTATTACCTTCACCATTCTTGTCTGTTTAAGGACATGTAGTATAACCTTCACCATTCTTGTCTGTTTAAGGACATGTAGTATTACCTTCACCATTCTTGTGTGTCTAAGGACATGTAGTATTACCTTCACCATTCTTGTGTGTCTAAGGACATGTAGTATTACCTTCACCATTCTTGTCTGTTTAAGGACATGTAGTATTACCTTCACCATTCTTGTGTGTCTAAGGACATGTAGTATTACCTTCACCATTCTTGTCTGTTTAAGGACATGTAGTATTACCTTCACCATTCTTGTCTGTTTAAGGACATGTAGTATTACCTTCACCATTCTTGTGTGTCTAAGGACATGTAGTATTACCTTCACCATTCTTGTCTGTTTAAGGACATGTAGTATAACCTTCACCATTCTTGTCTGTTTAAGGACATGTAGTATTACCTTCACCATTCTTGTGTGTCTAAGGACAGGTAGTATTACCTTCACCATTCTTGTGTGTCTAAGGACATGTAGTATTACCTTCACCATTCTTGTGTGTCTAAGGACATGTAGTATTACCTTCACCATTCTTGTCTGTTTAAGGACATGTAGTATTACCTTCACCATTCTTGTGTGTCTAAGGACATGTAGTATTACCTTCACCATTCTTGTCTGTTTAAGGACATGTAGTATTACCTTCACCATTGTCTGTTTAAGGACATGTAGTATTACCTTCACCATTCTTGTCTGTTTAAGGACATGTAGTATTACCTTCACCATTCTTGTCTGTTTAAGGACATGTAGTATTACCTTCACCATTCTTGTCTGTTTAAGGACATGTAGTATTACCTTCACCATCTTGTCTGTTTAAGGACATGTAGTATTACCTTCACCATTCTTGTGTGTCTAAGGACATGTAGTATTTACCTTCACCATTCTTGTCTGTTTAAGGACATGTAGTATTACCTTCACCATTCTTGTGTGTCTAAGGACAGGTAGTATTACCTTCACCATTCTTGTGTGTCTAAGGACATGTAGTATTACCTTCACCATTCTTGTGTGTCTAAGGACATGTAGTATTACCTTCACCATTCTTGTCTGTTTAAGGACATGTAGTATTACCTTCACCATTCTTGTGTGTCTAAGGACATGTAGTATTACCTTCACCATTCTTGTCTGTTTAAGGACATGTAGTATTACCTTCACCATTCTTGTCTGTTTAAGGACATGTAGTATTACCTTCACCATTCTTGTGTGTCTAAGGACATGTAGTATTACCTTCACCATTCTTGTCTGTTTAAGGACATGTAGTATTACCTTCACCATTCTTGTCTGTTTAAGGACATGTAGTATAACCTTCACCATTCTTGTCGTGTTTAAGGACATGTAGTATTACCTTCACCATTCTTGTGTGTCTAAGGACAGGTAGTATTACCCTTCACCATTCTTGTGTGTCTAAGGACATGTAGTATTACCTTCACCATTCTTGTGTGTCTAAGGACATGTAGTATTACCTTCACCATTCTTGTCTGTTTAAGGACATGTAGTATTACCTTCACCATTCTTGTGTGTCTAAGGACATGTAGTATTACCTTCACCATTCTTGTCTGTTTAAGGACATGTAGTATTACCTTCACCATTCTTGTCTGTTTAAGGACATGTAGTATTACCTTCACCATTCTTGTCTGTTTAAGGACATGTAGTATTACCTTCACCATTCTTGTCTGTTTAAGGACATGTAGTATTACCTTCACCATTCTTGTCTGTTTAAGGACATGTAGTATTACCTTCACCATTCTTGTCTGTTTAAGGACATGTAGTATTACCTTCACCATTCTTGTCTGTTTAAGGACATGTAGTATTACCTTCACCATTCTTGTGTGTCAAAGGAAATGTAGTATTACCTTCACCATTCTTGTCTGTTTAAGGACATGTAGTATTACCTTCACCATTCTTGTCTGTTTAAGGACATGTAGTATTACCTTCACCATTCTTGTGTGTCTAAGGACATGTAGTATTACCTTCACCATTCTTGTGTGTCTAAGGACATGTAGTATTACCTTCACCATTCTTGTGTGTCTAAGGACATGTAGTATTACCTTCACCATTCTTGTATGTCTAAGGACAGTAGTATTACCTTTACCATTCTAACCTATAACGATTGTGATTTTTGAACTCTATCATCTGCTGGTTTCATGACGTCAGTGTTGTCTCTACACACTTTAATACGTTCTCGTAAACTCAAGCAAAGACATTACAATGTAGAAACAAACGTAGAAATATAAAAAATATAGATCAAGCAAAGACATTACAATGTAGAACCAAACGTAGAAATATGAAAATATAGATCAAGCAAAGACATTACAATGTAGAACCAAACGTAGAAATATGAAAATATAGATCAAGCAAAGACATTACAATGTAGAACCAAACGTAGAAATATGAAAATATAAATCAAGCAGAGAGATAACAAAATGTAAAATTTCGCAACGAGGCGATAACCAAGCAGAGTCAAACATTTATCATCAAGAAAAGAGAGTTAGCAATTTAGAATCAAAATAGATTGTGAAGCGAGCAGTGAAGTAAAGAATCTGGATAGTAGATAAAGGTAGAATTTGTGGCAGCTATAAAAGCTGAATTAATGTCGACAATTCGCGAGTAGAAAATTCAAACACAAAAGCGCAACTTCTCACCTCCATTCTGGGAACCGTTGGATCCGGCCGAGTGGATGGCTTTGCGATGTTTGAGTGCCGTGTGTAGGATAAGAGAATACATAACAACAATAACAACAACCAACGTCCAATATAAAGAAGCTGTAGCGTAAAATAAGTATTGTATAGGCATGAGTTGTGTAACATCACAGATTGGAGTTGATGGGTACGGTTTGTGGATGAAGTGAGGCAGGATGCTGTAGAAGATTCCAAATGTCCAAGCGGAACAGACGCAACCAATCACGACTTTGCTGGAGATGGCGCGCTGGTAGAAGTAAGGGCGGGAAATGTAGAGATAGCGGTCGACCGAGATCATCATCATGTGGATGGCAGATACAGCGGTCATACCGATTGTTGAGCCATACATGAGAACGCACACGTTGATGAACCGAAAGAATATGGTCACTCGTGTCGTTGGCACCAAAAACAAGGCCAGGAGAATAAATGTCAGGCCAACAACGAAATCTGCCGCGGCCAAACTGACAACGTAAATATTGGCTAAGGTTCTTAAAGATGGCGTGTAGATGATGGCGAAGATGGTCAAAATATTACCGGTACAGACGAAGACGGTAAGTAGACACGCTACAAAACACAAGAGAATGTCTATAGCTTTCACATTTCCGATTTCTGAGTCATCACTGGTTCCTAGGTTCGAGGTCGCGTTCATATTAGTCCATCTTTGAAACGTCAGTTATTTTGCAATCGAATTTTAAAATCCTTTACCCTACAATTTCGTCGCATTCTCTTCTTTCTAGTTCTAGACATTTGCTACTGGTATTTCACATACACATAAGATTTATGAGTAGACCACAGTAGTACTTGATGTTGACCTCCGGTCCAATGTGGCGTATAGGCAGGTAGAATATTTCGGTGCTTCTGGCAGGGGTTGGCTGTTGTATTTCTCCTATATATTGTCTGAAACTTTATAGTTCCAATGTCCAACCACTGAGTCCTTGGTGTGACACAGTGAGCCTCGACATTCATTTGCAGAATTTGTCGAGTGTGCCCAACGTGGTTTCTGTTGTGAACTTTAGATTTAGAGCGTGACAACTGGGCTGTTGCAACAGGACTGGTGGTACCCTGGGCGATTAATTACATGTGCAACTGCTGATTTGTTGTAACTGAAGAAGATGAAGTGCAGTTCCAGAGGTGGGCTCTTTGTGATAGCACTTCTTATGTATTTTATGCAAATGTAAGCTACTGACTTTGTGAGACCGTCGTCTGGTTCATCGTTTCCAGCAAGGACAGCGACTGGTACTCTATGTGTATGTTCGCTGACACAGGAACAGAGCAAACATGGGGGTGATCCGTTTGCCGTGAAGCTGGAAACACAAGAAAGTGATTAACCAATCATTGCTTACCGGGAGATTGCAGCGAGGTATCTTTACTATCGGTTTTCTCACCCAAGGGATTATTGTTGATTCACAGGAGGGTCAAACATACAAGTAGCAGTCCAGATAAGGGGCCAGAAGCAGACAGATAGAACAGTCTTCTGCTTCCTACAGTTCCACCCTCAGTCGTCCAGTAAACTATCTGAAATAAAAGACGTAGTTTACTTTCAGGTTCATATCAGTACTGTTTTGTTTTTGGAAGCCTACATTTGGCTGACTATCAACAGACTGAGAACATCGCAAGACCTATATCGGACATTGCGTCGGCAACGTTGTCGTTTTAGGTTTTAAAAGTTGCTGACGATGAGATCGGTGTACCTATGAATTCGTCCGAAATTCTATGAAGATAATGATCATTAAGCACTAATATCTGTCTACACAAACGAATGTTTTTGTGTCATGTTTGCAGTCTGATACTTGCATATATCATTATGTTCCCGTGTCAATACATCGGTTGTCTACCTTTCTGAATGCTGTTGCTGTCTTCCTGTCGTTATCTCGTTGATACAGCCATTTATTTTTTCCTGATCGGGAAGTCATTTCAGCACTCAGCTTTGACAGATTTACAATCCATATCATCGATCGGATCAGTAAACATTAGACTGCCCTTTTATTCCTGTTCCTGTGAGTGTTATGTTGATATTCCCAGCCAGACAACGCTGAACTCTACGTCTGCTGTGGGGTTTTGCTGTTTCCTGCAATGGAAAACAGAGTTATTTACTGGAGTAAAGAGAAAAGTGTGTAGCAATTTGTGACGTCACGATTGACAGAAAATGAGAATGGAACAGAATGAGAGTGCTAGGTATAGAAATGGAGAATGATCAGAAAACAAGAAGAGAGCACTGAAAGAGTATGTTAGTATGGCCGACAAATATTTGCGCTTATTTTTCGTTTATTTTAATATGAAAAATTTTTCATTGCTGTTTGTGGGGGGTACTTTGGTGTTATTACATTCATATGCTTACATATGTAGCAGAGTCGCTATAACCCAGTGGCTATACCCCATGATTTCCAAGACAGTTGGCCGAGTTTAGACATGACATAGACATATTTGTTCCAGTTAGTTCAGCTCTGACATAGACACAATCTTTTTTAACTGAGACTAGAGCATTCTCCATGTTTTTCTTAATTTTCTGACCTCAAAGGCGTCTCAGATCTAGAGGTGACAGCCTCTTACAGAACCTCTGAACAGCAGAATCAATAAAGTGTAGAATGACAGGCGGAGGCTTCATGGAACCTGACCTTCCATGTTCCGGCGCCTGTGAAGAGGGACGGACGGACGGACGGACGGGCAGGCGGATGAATTGACGGGAGAGAGAACGAACGGACAGACAGACACAAACAGTCACCGGTAACGCGACCGTTGTTATCAATTACTCGAAACAAGAACCCCGCTGAACTTTTGCGGAACAATTTTAATCTCACCACTTACGAGTTGTTAAATCTTTGCGACGCCGTTTCCTGTTGTTAATACACAGACAAGACATGACAAGAAAACGTAAAATCGACCTATGCAGACTGTAGAGAAGAGTAGGCCACCCTTTATGTCAGTGCAATAGTCCGTTCCAAAAGTTGTTCCCTCACACTTAAACAAAAATCTAGAAAACTTCTGTACAGATCAACACGAATATTTACATTTACTTTATATTTCCCATCTCCTCACGATTTCGATTTTTTACATTATAATTGTACAGGTGCTGTTGTTTTCTTAAAAAGGCGATTTCCCTTGATCTTTGTCTAATTTGTGTGCCCCTTAAAAAAAATAGAATACACATTCATTGACACGTGCGCGAAGAATGAATTAGAAATCATTTCACATGTGCAGCGGTGGGTGGTGATTATTTTAATAGCCTATCTTGCATACAGCTAAAATTTCACAACTCCCGGCAGATTAATGCTGAACACAACCACCTGAGAGTAAAACGCCTATGACACGCCTGCAATCTGACGTTTTGAAAGTTCCCATTTCTCAATTAATTGTAAGCATGCTGGTTGTTTATAATCGGTGTCTCTTATGTATGTATATATATATATATATATATATATATATATATATATATATATATATATATATATATATATATATATACCTCTATGCTTTAACTTCTGGTTCAGAATTGGTCATTTTGGGTTGCAGTATTAGAGCTTTTGTTGATCATCTCTATACTTTGGCTTCTGTCTCAGAGTAGGTCATGTTAGGCGGGAACCTGTAGTTAGGACGGTCGACAGTCTGGTATCATGGCGTAGAGAAATATCTAAATTAGACAAGATTGACAGTACACCAGACAGAAAGCTGTGTACGCACCAGCGTTCCCTAGCATGAATTATAAGAAGCCTTGTCGAAAGCTTCTGAATCATGTGTCAAGCATACAAAACTCATTTTCTTCAGTACGTACTGTACCGTGTACATCAATAAACTTAAAATATCATTTCTTGCAACAAATGAAAGCCAGCTTTATGAAATGTCGCGTCACATTTGCATTTCCTTTATGTGCCATTATTGATGCGCTAAAGAATAGTTCCATTAACGGTTCCCATTGTAGAATTCTTCTGTTATTCATATTCTAGTGTCTGTGATTTTTCATATAATCTATCAAACACTGACTTGCAAATGTCTGCGTGCATTGTACGTTGTCATGTATCTTAGCATGTTTTTTTTTTTCTTTCCTTTATGCCACGTAGCGGCCACGTATATTCCAACGTATAGCGATAGAAACCCAATGCTGGATTTTTATCATGGTATGGGGCGTCGCAGGTCGGCCCAGCCTAAAATAGGTTCCGGGATGGCTGTTCTGTGGAAGTAAAGACGGCCGACGTAATGCTGACCACATTACCCACCAAGTACCGATTGGTCTGTAAAAATATTGGTGCTCTTCCCATATGCCCGATACGCCTTAAGGCATGAAAAGTGATCTTTACTTTACTGTTATGCCACGTCTCTTATCATAGGAAGAAGAAATGCAACGTGAAAGCGTCAGAAGCGAGAAAGACCTAACAATAGGACAGACTGGTCCTCTCTTTCTAGCTGTGATTCCAAGTGATCGTATGTCTACATACGTTTTATCGCTTCACAATCTTCTTGGTCCATCTCGTGGTCTATGTCCATTCAGCTCCCTTGTGTACACATTCTCTGTCATTCTTTTAATATGTCCCAACCTCGTCAGTTTATTAGCCGGCATAAAACCAGTGATCAGTGCTGATTTACACAGAATATGAATCACAGCTGCTTGCATCTTCAAAGGGCACCAAGGCTCGTCCTAAGAGTCTTGTCTAAAATGTGTAATAAGTAGAGATTTGTCTATATCGTTACACTTGAAGTCCAAGTCGAGTCCCGTGTCAATTCACTCCATGAATTAAGTCATTTGCAAGTCGTGCGTGGGACAATGTTAGGCAAAATTGGCGGAAATACAAACCCGGAAACGGCAGTGCAAAAAACTCACTAACTGTGTGTGTGTGTGTGTGTGTATGTGGGCGCGTGCGTGCGTGCGTGTGTGCGCGCGTGTGCGTGTGTGTGTGTGCGGAATGAGTCAAATGTGAAAACTTTATAATGGAAACATAATTGTTGTGTCCTCATTTGTACGAAAATGTTTTAAAATGTCACATTGATCATCAAACCTCAAAGTAGCCTGCCGAGAAAAGCGAGGCGTAACAAGTCGTCGAAGCTTCAAGTCGCAAGTCAAGTCGTGAGTGTTTTGGTGAAAAGTCCAAGTGGAGCTGCAAGTCGTTAATGGCACGACTTAAGTCGCGTGGCTCCAGTTCTGATTGCTAGTAATTAGATTTCAGAACCAAATGAGATCGCTTATTATTTTAGCTTTTTTGTATATTATGATCATGTAGTTGTGAGATTGTGTCTGTGTCTTATGTGTTGCGAACGTCCTTCGTAATGCCGGGGTCCCACATTCGATCTCAGCTGCGTACGATTTGTCTTGCGTTGGTTTCGATAATGAGCTTACCGTTTTTGGTGCAATGGCAAAATACTGATCGTAAAATTTGCCTAGAAAAATACAAGAAGCGAAAAAATTCTTGGGTTTGTTCTGTAACGTCATGCAAAGGATTCGCAACTAACTCTTATGAGGTGAAAGAATTTGTTGTTAGCTACTGTTCTAAGGCATTCTATAACTTTTGTTTTCAGACTGTGTTCCTAGTTCCATGTATTTACTTAGTAAGCTGGAGCAGATCCAAAACATCGCCTCATTTTATCTACACACGGCGAATAATTTTTCTAATTGGATACGTTTGATTCTAAAGAGAACGGTATATAGAAACGTTGATTTTC